GCTTGTTTGTTTGTTAGTGTTTGTTTGTTTGTTTTAGTTTGTTTGTTTATTTTTGGATGTAAGCCGGCACCGTTTGTTGTTGTCAATTGATTGCGAACGTTGTTTGTCGAAGTTTTTTTATTATTATGGACTGTTATTTATTTTTTGTCTTTTTAGGCCTTTGTGTATTTTCATATTTTTGATGTGAAGTTAAAATAAAATCTTAAAAAATTTGGATTAAAAATTTAATGAAAAATATTAAATTACAAATAAAAAAAATTATCTCAATACTTTTTTAAATTAAAAATTAAATTAATTAAAAATCATGTATTGAATGGTTAATGGTTAATTTGTGGAGATGGAATGGAAGAAGAATTAGCGGCACACCTGTAGTAAAGCAGGTAGTTTCTGCATTTGTCAAGTTAAAATCTTCCGTGCAGGTGTCACCGGTGGACAACAAGATTAATGAAGTTAACAAAATATGTTCATCTCATGTATACAAGGGAAATACTTTTCAGTGATTTTTGAAGAAGCGTGTTTTACCATGCAAAAACTTTTCGTATTTCTTGGAATGATAATGTTCTAATTTTAGTTCTTATATAACATTAAAAAAATGTATAAAATCCTGAATTTTTGCTAAAAAATGCAATTAATTACAAATAATTCTTCAAATTATTGTTATAAAATAAACATTTTTTCAGTAACAATGAAAACGAACTGCCACATATTTGCAATTTGCAAAGTATAAATAGTCCGTAATCACATGAAAATTTTTCATTTTATTTTTGTTTAATCAAACATTTTTCAAAAATATTTGATTGATAGCGAAATTTCCCCATTTATGAGCTAACATTTTAATTACACTCTTCGGCATCCAGAGGCTCTTCTACGTAGAGTCAGTATAAATTAATGACAAAATAATTCAAAATTACTAAAATTTCATTTGACTGCAGTTAATATCACGTGATCAATAATAATCATTTCAGAGGCCGCCATTTTTTATTTTCAGTGTTAATCATCCTATTTTTATAATTCCTTTAATGAACAACTAAATTATTTTTCTGATGGTCTTTTTCATCATTTCGTGTACCACCACTTCATTCCAATGCCTTGCTTGCTATTATCTTCTTTATCATATTCATCACATTTTTTTTTCGTATTCCATTTTTTCAATATTGGTATCAATTTTCCATCATTATCTTTATCACCATCCTCATATCATCACCATCATCGCCATCATCAAAATTGGTATCACCATTACTCTCATCTTCCTTACCACATCATTTCATCAGCATCTTCATAATATTCATCACCATCATCTTCATCTTCCTCATCGCATCTCTCTTTCATCAACTCCATCAACAGCAGCAGCATTAGGAAGTTGGGCCAGGCGTCGTATTACAATGTAGCAGTATGTAAGGGAAAGACCGAGGAGTGGTGATTGATGGGAATGTAACAAAGTAGCAATCACTCTCCTCCATCAACGAACCTTAATAAATTTCTGGGTCGAAAAAATAAATTCGCCCGCCGTGCTAGTTCAATTTATTTCTAATTTAAAACTTCAAATACAAAAATTTATCTTAACGTAAGAAAGCTTTTTTTTTAAATATAAATCGTTTTTTTTTTGAATTTGCACTCAAAGAAAATTTTCTTCAATTTTGAAAATAAATAATTTAATCAAAATAATTTTTAATAAATAATTAATAATTTTTTGTTGATAATGACAAAACAAACAAACAGACGACAGACATGATGGTGATTGATTGCACATTATTGTTCTTTAAAAACATTATTAAATGCAAAATTAATTGAACGGCACAACAACAACAACAACAACAACATCAACAACAACAACAACATCAACAACAACAAAAACAACAACAACAACAGTAGCAGCAATAACAACAAGCAATAATGCCATCACGTATCTTCGCCGAACGATCAAGATTGAAATTTATGTTGGTCGTGTTTTTCTTTGGAAAACAGATTTTAGGTTTTTTGACGATTTGCATATAAACGTCAGTTGCGATTCTACCTTTTTTTTAAAAATTAATTACAATAAATTCTGAGGCTTTTCTGTAAATTGTACTGGCTATTAGGTACAATTATAAGTTAACTCTTAAATTAATAAATGTATGAAAAGTTATGTAGGCATCTGTCGGATCATAAACAATTGTAAGCTTGATATAAAGCTCAAACTATGTGTGCCGTGCTACAACTCAAAGATATTTACTATCAGACACGTCCTACATCATACATATCTCTATTTATGTGTGATTGTTATTTCACTTTTTAAAGCAAACGTCAACACAGGACATTTTGTGTACACAACAAGGTTTTTTTTCAGTGGTTTCATTTTGGCAACTGTGTATAAAGACACATTCTACCCGTCAATTAGTGGCCGGTCGTTACTAGGAAAACAGTGTAACCGAAACGTGTGTGTGTGAGTATGTTAGACTAGTTAATGTTCCTGGATGTTAGGATGCCTGCGTGAGGATGTCACATTGTTTCTCTATGTTATTCTTCCTGTTTGGCTTTATTTTTCAACTGTTTATATCTTTGTCGATCTGTTGTTATGTCTGTCTGTCTTCCTGTTTTTGTCTGTCTGTCTGACATTGCCCTTACATTTTTATTTTGTTTTTCAACCGTTTGTTAATGGCATCTATAAAACTTCAATTTATGTCGAGTATTTAGTTTGTAACTGTTTGTATGTTTGATCAAATTATGTGATTGCTATTGTTGGCCATTGTTTGAAAATGTTTGCTGGTATTTCTTGATTTATTTAAAATGTATTTTTGAAGACCAAAAATAATTGAAGGGTTTTGAATTGAGATTTCTCGGCTGATGTGATAACATGATGAAAATGATGGATCGATATTTAATGCACATGTACCGTACATATTATAAGGAGCCTGTAATTGAGATGATCTATAATGACGTGGGTTCACATAGTTAAAGTCATATTGGTTACAGTGCCGAGAACAACTGACACAAAACCTAGCATGTAATAAACACAATAATTTTAGCAAATACTTTCAAAATTTTAGAAAATAATGGCAAACACAAAATGACATCAACACTTCCACTTATGTAATGTAAATGTAACAGATGTAAATGTTATGTAATGTAAATGTAATATAAATGTAATTAATGTAACAGAATCTTCAAAGCCAGCATAGCGAGAGTAAGCACGATCCTGAAACAAAAGAAAGCAGTCAGGCAAGCATATAATGCACTGTATATTAGAGATTTTTAATTGCAAGGCAACGATTCACGTAATTGTGGATATATCATGGAGGAGCAATTAAAAAAACATTACAGCAACATTTAATACTCCATACAAACGTCTATATCAAATCAATGTCCCACAATTCTCTTCCCTTCTTATCGATTTAATATTGATTAATAAGTGGATTGTGTTGTGTTGTTAGTAGATACTGCTTACAAATGTCTGCCAAATTTATCGGCTGGCATTTTTCTGTGCAGTGCGAATCCACTCACCGATGCTAGATTTTATTGAATAATGTGCTTTTATTGTATAACAAAAACTAGCATCGTAAATAGTGACAAAGAATATGATGCTATCGATGAAGAAAAGGAGACCAAAGAAGATGACCAGCCAATTAAGAAACCTGACACCTAACTCGCATCAAAGTTCAATTTTACAACACCAAAGTTAATTTTTACAACGTCAAAGTTCATCTTGACAAAGTCAATATTTTCCTATATATACAGCAAGGAGCACTGATGATGATTCATTCGGAATCGAAATATGGCCTTATTTGCAGCATGAATTCGAAAAATAAGTTTATTTTGAATTTTAATAAACTAAACGTTCACCAAAAAACTTTAGTGAGAAAAATCGAAAAAACGAACTACAAACGTATTAACGTCAAACATTCGGTAGAATTTATAAAATATTGTAAATATATATATAAATGTATATATGCAAATTGAAATTTTGCAGTCGGTCGCATGACATGACGGGCAGCAGTGCTGAGGGATGTTGAACTGACTGCTGACTGACCGTTTGTAAAAAAAATTCTCCTATCTTGCCGGTGCACATTCCGCTCCAAAAATTTCTTTCTAGTTGAATTCATTCAAAAAATGTTCAGGAATCTTAATAAGAAAACATTACAGATAGAAATTGATACGCAGGTTATCTGGTTAAAATGAATGTTTTGTAAAACTTAACGTTAATCCTAATAAAATATCCGTTGGCAGGTGGTTTCAGTTTTTAGGTCACCCAATGGCTTCCCCCTCTGAATTACAAGATTTCTGTTAACATGCTGTCTATATATGACAATAAAGCAGATCAGCGATTGTTTTCATTCATTTAATAAAATCATTTCACTTAATATTTGATCGAGAAACTTATTTTTATTAAGTCTGTCAAACTTTTACCAAGATGATGAGAAAGAAATGGCAAGTCACCTAGCATTGCAATGTTTAAAAAACGCACATAGCAGGAAATGAAAAATTTTTCTGATTTCAGAAACAACTCAACAAACAGGCAGACGAGCATTAGATAGCTTACAATCGCCTGTGCTGCATCAGAACACGCACGTGATGCACTGTATCTACGGACGCAACACGGACCGCCGCAGATTTTGTTTTCAATAGATGGATGATTAGGTTATGTAAATATGACTCCGGCTTTAAATTTATTCTGCAAAGGGGATTTGCTCCGGACCCGAGTAACAATTATAACTTCATAAATCAGAAATATTTTTTGAAGAATATCAACTGTAACAAACTGGATTCATCGTTGTCATGAAAGATTTAAGAAAATAATGAACTCAACTAAATTAAAGTACGGTAAAGCTTGAAAATTGGAAAAATTAATGAACATTGAAAGTGTTATCAGCCATGAAAATTGTAGTTGAAAAATAGACCCTACTCACGTTAGCAATGGAGATATGTATATTTTTATTTCTCATTAACACCAACCTACTGCTGCATTTTCATCATTAATCAAATAAAAATTAAATAGAGACAAAAAAAGCTATCAGCAAATAAACATGCCCGCCGAATTTGCACATTCATCAAGTCTCATGTCAGAGAAATTACAGACAGCGGTCCAGCGATAAATTCATCACGGCACGCATTTATGACTTTCTCAGGAATTAAACAATATTTGCATACGTATACGCACGCACGCACACGCGTGTACATATTTACATATACGTGTGTAATATGTATGTAAATGTATAACATAAATATGCAAATCAATTTTTCATCACTGGTCAAGTATATATGTTAACAATATAAGCAGATAAAAAAATATGCCACAAAATGAATTATCACATTCGGCAATTTATTTTTCTGTAAAGTCTCACCAACATTCACATTATTGTTATCATCTTGGCTGTACGAAAAACCGACCACGAGTGAATCATTTTCTATTGGCTGCAGAAAATACACTACGATTCAACATTTGGAATGTTACAAAAAGTATACAACAAAACATCGAATTCGTACGAAACACTCAAAGTTTGTGGATAGATGTATGTGTGTGTGCGTAAGTGGTGAGTGTGTATGTGTGTGTTGGTACGTGTGTAGGTGGGTGGGTACAACATTCTACCATTCTGCGTATGCCTATGTGCATGAGTGTTCAAGTGTTTGTTGCTAGCATCACTTCCATCCTCTTAATATAAAGGGCGTAGCTTCTTTGTACAGTTCATGTATTCAAGTTTGCTCGTTTCAAATGCTAAATTGCATTAGCAGAAACTTGAGTGCTTACATGTTCAACTCATAAGTGAATTGAAAGCATTGGAAAGCTTTCTTTGCTATATTTAATAACAAAAATAACATCGAGCATGAGAAGTATCAACAATAAATTTAATCATCTCTCAAAACGTTAACAATCTTGATGAAATATTAAACGAGGTGATGCGCTGATGAGATAAAATTATTTCGCTAAATTAAAAATTTTTTAAAAACAAAAATTTATACTAAAGATTTAAAAATCGAACTGTTTTTAAGGTTGCGTCTACATTCAAAATGATTTTTATTATTTTCGTTCATCATTTTGTGATACTGCATGCCAAACTCAAGTGGAAGGCTCAAGATTAATATTGAAATGTAAGAGTGTACTGCACCGTACGTAAGCGTCAAATTACGTCGAACCCTCTTAATGGAACTTTGTAATCAGACTCAAATGAATTGTTTCCTATTAGTAAGCATTTGCATATGCAAGTTCAATTTTGAAGTTTCGCATGGCACCACTGAAAGAAATCATCATATCATCAACAACATACACTTAGAAAAAATATATTTTCATTATCGGACTATTAAACAGACATCCACTACTTCAACAAACGTGTGCGCGTTTGTGGTGTGCTGTGGTGTGGTCTGCTGTGGTGTGGTCTGCTGTGGTGTGGTTCGCTGTGGTGTGGTCTGCTGTAATGTGGTTTACTGTGGTGTGGTCTGCTGTGGTGTGGTTTGCTGTGATGTGGTTTGCTGTGGCGTGGTCTGCTGCGGTGTGCAAACAACAAAAATACCAACGAAATCAGTTACAATGTCAAATTGAAAAAAATGCTTAAGAGTGAAATAGGCGTGCATGTATTTGATAAAAAGAACATGCAGCCCTACATCAACGCATACAAGCAACTTGCGCTCATGACACACGTACTCTCTATCGATCACAAGGCATACGTATCCAACTTGGGAGGTACAAATATTGTCTGAACACACAAATGCTCCAATGATGATGAAACACATGTTTCTAAAACATACAACATGTTTTAGGGCAAACAAATGGTTGAACATGCGAACATACAAGCGCCGATTACAAACATACATACATTATACAAACATCTTACTAACATGGGAACATCATACAAACATAAAAACATCATATAAACATACATATATCATATTAACATAGGAATATCATTCAAACGAACAAACATGCAAACATCGTACAAACATACAAACATCACACAAACATCATACTAACATAGGAACATCATACAAGCATCAGGTAACTGGAGCTTTCGCCCGATACATTTACCAGATTATGAGAGGAACTTAGCGTAACAAACAAAATTGTTTTAGTTTAAAATCATTTTGTTGTTTATGTATTTATGATATACTAGAAAAGTTAATATATGAAACTATATTACTATGATACTCAATTATATATGATACTCAAAACCATAAAAAATATATAATTTCTAATTAATTTTAATAAATTGGATATTAATTACAATATTACTGTTAGAAATATTGAAAAGCTCAATTGTAAGCTTTCAGAAGCTAACAATTTGGTATATTTTATCAAATTTTAAATTTATATAGCGCCAATTATAATTGCTTCTCGTCAGCGCTTACCTCGTATAAAGCATGTAGATCACTAGGAGTTACGAAATAGGTATGTCTTTAGATGTTTTCTAAACTCAGCTAATTATAACCCAGATATACGTAGTTCGATAGGTAGGCTGTTCCAAAAAAAGGCCTAGCAACTGCAAAATTTTTATCTGCTGTTGTTAGATTTCGATCTCTAACATACAGCGTGTTTGAATCAGCAGACCTTAGACGCCTATGCGATGACATAGATGAAACTCTAATACATTTATTTTTGGAGCTAGACCATTCAAACTTTTAAATACCATTACACCCAACTTGAACATGATTTTTTGTTTAACACGCAGGCAATGTAACTTCTTTAGAATTGGTGATGCATTATTGCGGCATATCATTCTAGCAGCCTGATTCTGAACCATCTGAAGTTTAGGCAACAGTTTATCAGCTATACCATATAGAAGACTGTTACGATAATCCAATCTAGAGTTGACGAAAGCATGTACTAATAGAGTCATTGTATCTCTATCTACCGATTTTGTGACTTGACGTAATTGACGTAGTTGGAGCATACATTTTTTAACCAATAGACTGACTAGTGGACCCATTGTCATACGGGAGTCCATCACAATTCCCAAATTGGTGACCGTTTTACTGAAACTTATATCAGTCATACTAATGTTAATCGATGAAGGTTCAACCGCTGACGTTTGTTGCCATGTACCAGCCAACATGAACTGAGTCTTAGTCTGATTCAACTTTAGTCAACTTTGACCCTGCCACGAGCATACATCTGATGTAGTTTTTGTCAGTTTCTCTAATACGGTAGGCATCTCATCTGGAAAACATGAAACACAAATCTGCATGTCATCTGCGTACCCATGGCATTAATAACCACTTCTATTCAATAAATCAGTATCTATACAACGTACAAATTAAAGAGAATCGGTCCAAGAACAGATCCTTGAGGCACCCATAACGTAAGTTTCATTGGTTCTGAGAGACCACCTGAATAAGAAATCTGCTGGTATATATATATATATATATATATATATATATATGTGTGTGTGTGTGTGTGTGTGTGTGTGTGTGTGTGTGTGTGTGTACGTGTTGTGTGTATGTGCATAATAAATTTGGGGAAAAATTTAAATAGTTATTGTCTTTGTTGATTGTAGATGTGATGAGTCTTGTGATGACTATTGTGAGTTTGTAATAATGTGTGCTTGAATACAATGGTGAAGTGATGATGAGGTGATAATGATGTAGTAGTGATAATGATTTGTTTGTATGATGATTTTTTTCGGTTGGTAACAGACACTGCTATGACATCATATACGTGTGTTATAAATTTTTGACAAGATTTTTGACACCACTAACGTTATTACTGCTATAATATAATTTCATCTAATAAGTTACATTATAACCAAATTCCAACAAATTTCAAAAGTTGGGTAAAAACGAATCGGTGAAAAGTTTTCGGGCAAAAAATGTACTGGCCGAACGCTCCTGTAACCCAAACATCACACTAACATAAACATCACGCTAACATAAACATCATACAAACAAACAAACAAACAAATAAACTAACAAACAAACAAACAAAAAACAGACAGACAGACATACATACAAACAAACAAACAAACAAACATCATACTAACGTACAAACACCATACTCACATATAAACAAACAAATCAGCATCATACAAACATACAAACAACCAAAAACACAAACATACAAACATGCATGCACGTAAACTCACCGATCTGCTGATACGGGAACATGGTGACATGGGAAGTGAACGCAAGAAACGTCTTCATCAATTCTGTTTCAATGAAAAATTTTGTTAAATTGAATTTTTCATCCATTAATAAGTACTTTTCAATTAATTTGAAAATTTTGTAACTGAAATCGACAGCTTTTTTTGTTAAATTATAAATATTAATATGTTTTAAATCTACAATTTTAATTTGTTTTATATTCTAATATAAATAAATAAAGAAAAAAACAAAGAAATTATTTTGGAGAAGATAAGAATTGAACTTGCAATGAAGTAGCCAAAAATTAACTGGATGGCTTAAAATGAAAAAAACTTGGCAACCATTTCATCTTCCTATCGCTCGTTTTTTAACTAATTTTGTAATTAAAACCAGTCGTATTGTGCTAATTAAACGCAATTTTATATGAGGATATTGTTAATTTTAGCCTTAACTCTGGCAAAATACGCTATTGGTAACTTGTAAAATCACACAAAACCAATAATTTTTGAATGTCTAAATTTTCTATCGAGTGTAGAATGACATTAATGTGATGTTAATGTAGTGATATTTTGACGTATTGTTTACATGACCAAATTGTCATATGTTATTGTAATAAAAATTAATGTCACGTGATGTATTTCATGATATCCTCTTCCTGTATAGAGTTATTGATTGCTTCAGAGCATGCTTTCACAATTCTCCATCATTCCAAATCACGTGCTTCCTTGGTGAGCATCTATTGCATCATTTCATTTGTTTTCCAATAAATTAACTCTATCACACAGTTGTTTGAAAATGTATCTTCTAGTGTAATTTATTGTCAATTCTAAAAACATTTTCGCGTTTAATTGTTATAAACTTAATATTGGATGTTTATTCGATTTTACTATTTTAACAGATGCTGTCAAACTTTTTCAATTCAAAAAATTATGCAGAATTTTTAATTTTCTGTCAAATTTTTGAGCCAAACTTGCCTTGAATGAAACTTTGAAAGAATGCACTAGTAAAAACAAATGCAAAAATTTTCAACAGTTTTACCATTAATTTGAATTTTCAGTATCTAATTAGTTAACGGTTTACAAAATTTCATTGTTTTCCCTATTTTTTGAAACGAAATTCCATATAAATTATAACTAATTCAGTTAATATCTTTCTCGTAAATGTTGCCAATTTAGATTTCAAATAATTTTTATCTTTTCTTAAAAGGAGGTGGTTGTTTGTTAAATGTTGCCAATTTAGATTTCAAATAATTTTTATCTATTCTTAACATGGGGGTGGTTGTTTGTTAATTGCTTGTTTGTGGTGTGGCCCCCAACTAAAATTTCTGAATTTTCTCTGGTTTAAGAACTTGCCCAAAACATTAAGTATTGGTGCCCGTTAAAATAAAGAGCTGTTTTACATTTCACGAACATTTTAAATTGTAAAACTATTCAAGAATAGAAGATTCTATTTATGCAATTATTTGGATTTATTAACTTTCTTCAAGAATTGTGTTTGTTTGTTATTTAATTCGGGCATTTTTTCTATCAAGTTATTGTTTTGGTCTGAACTGAGATTGAAACAGGTTTATTTCTCATTCATATTTCCACGGATTTAGTTTCATCAGAAACAAACTCTCTTAAAAACAAACCAAAATCATACGATTCGGTTTGAGAATTTTCAATTTAGCTATGTTTTAAAAATATTTTTACTTAATAAAACATAATATTCACATGTACTAATATATGAATGAGTTTATTATGAGCCAATAAAGGAAAAAATCATTTCAAACTTGAAAAAACTGAATCTAAAAGAGGGCAGGAAACAACACCATCTCAAACAACAACATCATCACAAACAACAACATCATCACAACAAACGGCAACACCATCACAAACAACAAAAAAAACATCAATTCACGTCACAGTAACACACGAAATCAACTTGATGATGAATGCGAAATCACGGACCTCTGCGAATGTAACAGCAACAAATCAACAACAACATTAGCAACGACACCATCATTGCCAATAACAACAACAACACCAAAAAAAATCAATTTTAGCTACATCATCAACAACCAACACTGATATCAACTTTAACAACAGTATCTATCATAAAATCAACTTTAGTAACATTAACTATGAAAAAATCTTGTTGACAACAACACGATCACGACATCAACATTTTATTTTCATTACCATCATCATCGTCTTCAACATCATTATCATTATCGTCATCAACATCATCATCATCGTCGTCGTCAACATCATGTTCATCATCATGACATCAACATCTTCATCACAACCAGCTATTGTTAACAAAAATTTGTTTAATAAAAACCCAACAAAAAATTTTTTCGAAAAAAGATTTCTTAATATTTGATTCATCAAACTCTTCTGCTTCTTTCATATTGTGTGAGTGTGTGAGTGTATGTGTGAGTGTGGGTCTGGGTGTGCGGATGGTGTGGGTGTATGTGTAGTCGCTGTAGCTACAAATTGTTCATTGGTGGTTCGTAGCTTGTGTTTTCGCAGCTAATATTTTCACGACTGTTGTTGTTGTTGTTTCTATTGTTGTTGTTATTGTTGGTGTTGTTGTTGTTGTTTGCATGTTGACCAGCAAAATTATTGTTGTTCATACTGCATGAATGCCACTGAAGATTTTACTGTTGATAATTTAGTCACGCATGCGTTTAGTGTTAGTATTTCGTTTGTCGTCGTTGTTGTTAATGTTGCTTTTGCTGATGTATGTCGTTGCTGTTTTTGTGTTGGTGTTGTTATTGTTGATGCTGTTGTTGATTTTGTGTTTTTGTTGTTGTTGTTGTTTTAGCAGTTGTTTTGATGTTGTTGTTGTTGTTGTTGTTTTGCTGTATAAAATAACGTTGCTATAGTGGTAGTAGTAGTTACAGTAGCAGCAGCTGCAGTAATAATAGCAATAGAAGTACTAGTAGTAGCAGCAGTAAAATCTTTATTAGTATTCATAACAGTAGTAAGAACAGACTGTTAATTAGTGGCAGGGTAAGTACTAAGTAGTATCAATAACAGATGTAGTACATTTTTTCGTGTCTGTAGTACTTTTTTACAGTACTATTTTTAATATGGTGTTATGTTTATTTTTGACACCATTACGAAGCAGATCGGTTAAATTGCCTGGTTTTGAGTTGCATTTACCCTGTTTGAATGTTCATTACATGTGTGTGTGTGTGTGTGAGTGTGGGTGTGCGCGTGTGTTTTTGTGTGTGTTGTTTTGCCCTAAAATTGTTGTTTAAATTGAAATATGCGGGATGGAACAAATGAAAACCGCTCGATAAATTACACTACAGAGAGAAAGAGAGAGAAAGAGAGAGATGGAAAAATGATAGAAGGAGGAGAAGGAGGATGAATGAATTTTATTGAGGATGATGATGATGGTAAGAATGATGTCCATGTTGACGATGATGATGATGATGATGATGATGAAATGACTCTTGATGTTGTTGTTGATAACAATGTTTTTTTTGATAATACGGATGTTGTTGTTTTTGTTGCCGAAGTTGTTGTTTTTGTTGCTGATGTTGTTATTTAACATTCTGCTGTGTGTTCATTCAATAAATCACCAAACCCCATGGTCTTAGTATGTGTGTGCATTTGTTATAAATGCTAATGTTTGCATGTGATGCTTGTATGTGGTGTTTGTATGGGGTGTTTGTATGTGGTGTTTGTGTTTAATGTTTGTATGTAATGTTTTGTTTGTGATGTTTTTATGTAATGCTTGTTTGTGATATTTGTATGTAATGTTTGTATGTCGTATTTGTATTTGAAATATGTATAATAAATATGAAAGACTTTGATATTTGCATGTGATGCTGTATGTTTTTTCCCATATTTGATGAAAAGTATTTGTATGTATTGTTGTATATCTTATTTTCTCGGCACTGCTCATTCTTTCGGTTTGGCTTTTTTTTATTTGCGTCATCCAAGCGATTGCTAGGACAACAAACATTTGGCTATTTATGAAAGAAACATCAAACGTGTCCATGATTGCATCTCAAATATTTTCAATTTACACTCACACTCATACAGACACATATACACACACACACACACAAATACGTACAAACACACACACACACACCTATATATAAACACTCACACACATTTCAACAAACTCATTTATTCTATATCAAACAAGAAATTTATTGTGGGTTTGTTTGTTTGTTGTGCAGTGTGTTTGCGTTGTTTTTGATTTGTACGTTTTACGTTCTAATGCCCGCGCAAACTGTCGGCTATCCATCATTGGACCGACGCAGGCAGGCGAGTTCTACCTTCTTACATGCCGTCTCAGAGGAGAACATTCATTTTACACACACTCAACTCGCTTCCAACGTTATAAAAACCTAATTAACTTTTCTGTCTCGTAAAGATGCTTCTAATTTTTTCTCTCTTCCTCTTTTCAATTTGCAGCCTACTTTTCGACTATTCTGTAAGAATATAGAATTGTTTCATGTAATTAGAAAAACAATTTCAAAGTTATCACATTCACTAACGTTTGTAAACGATTTTGAACACTGGCTAACAAAGCAATGTTTTTATTTTCGTTTGTTCATCTTCGCTTTGCTCGCTACATTGCCTCTTTGTTTCAATGATTGAATAAACTGAGCAAAAGATTGGATGCTGTGAGGTTGGCGCATGCACGCCAAATTGCTTCATGATGCATCATTAGCTCCACGATAACATTTCCTTTTCTTTTTTTCTTTTTTAAAAACAAAACTTTCATCATCAGACAACTCCATTCCATTTGTATGAACACCAATGTAATATTTTAATATGAGTACTAACATAAACCACAATAACATTTTGAGAACACCTTCAAAAAATTACAAACATACTCTGATATTTATGACCAGACAATGAAAGAACCAGGCAAACAAACAACCAAAAAATAAATATTCAGACACTCATAAACAAAATAGTATACATCATTGTAGACTACATACATGTAGAGACGAGCACAAACTTGAACAGACTGACTTGAAAACAGGCATATGCCCACAGATATGTACAATAAGCAGACAGACAAACAGACAGACAAACAAACAGACAAACACTCATGCATTACATGCAGTGAAATGTCTGAAAAGTCAAGAGGATTGTGAGGCAGTAATAAATAGAGGAACATCATGACGTAAGCAACATGAGGTTGAAGGCACGTATGCACTTATTGGCGTTTACAAGCTCCACAAATATTCCAGAGCAATTATTTACATTTCATGTGCCTACACACAGATACACAGACACATACACTCACACACACACACACACACACACACACACACACACACACACACATATATATATATTCATTCATTTGTTTGTTTTATTAAATTATTCCTTTATTTATATTCACCAACAAAATAATTTGAACGGGTGTTAACACTGGCAGATCAAGTCACTTTGACCGGGAAGCCAAAATTTTGACAGGGAAGGCCAAGATATGCGGCAGTGTGGGTGACGACCTAGTTTTGGTCGATTTGATACATAAAAAGATTATTTTCGGACTTTTAAAAAACTGTTCACAAAGGGGAAGGGGGCACTGGCCTCCCGGCGCCCCTTAGATCCACCACTGAGTGTGAAAACTTCAGCGCACTTGTTTAAAAGTAATTTTTCCAAGAGATTATTAGTAAAATAATTCAAGAAATTAAAGTTTTTTTCTGTTTTCTGTGACATTAAATGGTTTCTTCATTAAGATATTTTACTACTAGTCTCGCGCAACAACATCTACAGTACTCTAGATTACATGATAATTAGTGGTGGTGCTGGTGGACGCTGATTTGTTTTAAGATGGAAATAAAAGATTTTTACTAAATTTTAATAAATGCAAGCAATTTTTTTAAACATGAACTCAATCACAATATTTAAATACTGTATAACTGTAATTTTTTATACGAATATAAAATATATGCATATTGTGAAAAAAATCTACAAGTGTGTCTAATTTGTGTGGTAAATATAGAATCATAAACAGCAATGTAAATAAAAGAAGTATGAATATTGAGAAATTCTTCGGCAATAGATATCAAAAATGTTAAGTTATTCATGAAGCAATCTGCAACCAATAAAATTGCTGCAACCAAAAAAATTGCTGTAACCAATAAAATTGCTGCAACCAATAAAATTGCTGCAACCAATAAAATTGCTGCAACCAAGGAAATTGTTGTAACCAAAAATTTGCTGTAACCAATAAAATTGCTGCAACCAATACAATTACTGCAACCCTAAAATTTTTGCATCAAATAGCAGCAAACGTTTTGATGAATGTCCAAAAGTACGGCAACATCAGATCCAACCTTAAATATTTTCTTATGATAACGTTGAAAAAAATTAAAACAAACTTTAAACTTCTGGAGAATTTTTATTGTCTGCGAAAATATTCTGTCATCATATCTTGACTGAATACGACGATCAATTTTATTTTATTCAAACATATAAGTACATATTTTAAAACACACATCACACACACACACACCACACACACACACACATACACACACAAACACCCAATATAAATATAACATTCGTAAAACAGAATTAGTTAAAACAAAATTTCATAATGAAATATAATATGTGTAGTAATCACTGTGGTTTTAGTTGCGGCATACAAAAGTTGTATTTATTGTATTGTAATGTTTTGTATCACGTATTAATTGCATTGTATTTGTGTGTTTTGTTGTATGTGCAGCGGGTATTTACATCATTTAAATTGTACTGTACATTATACTGTGTGTATTTCTTGCAAATAATTCGTGATTATGGCCAATGTTTTGTTTTTGCTGCTGTTTGTTGTTGTTGTTGTTTATTGGTAAGGTTTGTCATTCATTAGTTCTTCTCATTTATCATCATGGTTTTAAAGTTACAAAATTTTTGAAAAATTTTCGTCAATTTGTATATATACGCAATTTAATATTTTCAAAAGAGGACAAAATATTTTTTTGACTTTATAATTTTTGATCAATATCTCATTTGGAGAAACTATTTCTGTCATTATTATTATTATTATTATTATTATTATTATTATTATTATTATATTTTTTTGGATGGGGGATGCCTGGGCATAGTCACCTGAGGAACTGAATTACAGAAAAAACTGAAGACTCCATTCTAAAATAAGGACGACCTCGTTCAAAACGGAGCAATCGACTAATCTAAAGTTTTCTGTTATATTTAATAGTAGATGTTAATAAACCTTGTACATTTTATGTATCAGTATTGTTTGTTTGTTGTTTAACATTTGATTTGAATATTGTTTCGTTTTGGTATACATTTGACGCAGTTAATATTTTTTCTTCGTTTGTTGTTGAAGACAGTTTGTTGTTATGTTAGTAGTCCGTTGTTGTCACTTGAATAATTTCTTAATTTTTTTCTACTTAATTTTTAATCTGCTTGACGAATTTCTGTCGCATCAATATTTAATTCGAATAAAAAAAACAACGCAAAACGGCTCGTGTTATATTTGCGAGATCAATTGTTCATTTTCTTTTCTCATCTTAAAACTCAATAAAAAATTTTATATGATTCTCAAGTTTCAAATTTCATTTCATGCAAATGTACTTCGAGTTGTGCTTCAATTCAACTTTATTGCTTCCTTCGCATTTCTTCAAGGCGTTCATGTGCTGATGTGCTGATGTGTTCCTGTATGTTCCATCTCACTGAGGGACTGCCTGCTGTACGTCTTTTGCACAGGCAGACCTGCTTGTCTCTGTCTGTTGCTGGGTAGTTTGAATTTAATATTTTTCTGTTAACCGAACTCACCGAGTAGCACAGGGTGTTCTGCTCGTGGTCTGCTATAATATTATTGCGTGTTGCTGTTGAAGTTGAACGTTATAACGATGTGTGAGGATTTTGTTATGGGGCAAGTTTTTCAAGCATTGAAATGTTTAATGGTTTATTTTACATCAGATTTGAATTTCTTCGAAATTATTTCATTTGATTTGCATACGATTCATGATCTAGCTGAAAATTTTTTTAATATATATTTTTAATGGGTTGAAAATTGTAAAAGATAGATTAAATGAATAAATTCAAATTCACCAAAACGCACACAGACACACACAAACACACACGGACATACGCAGACATACACAAAGGCGCACAAATCCACACGAACGTACGCAGACGAACAAATAAGGTCTAATAAATTATTTATGAAAATCGTACCGTGCAATCGCAAATCAGATCCGCATAGAAAACTTCGATTCTTGAAAGTTTCATTCATTCATTCGTTTATTTATTTGTTCGCTCCTTCGTTTTTATTTTGCTCATTCATTCATTTATTTGTTTACGCTCTCTCATTCTTTTGTTTCTTTGACTTCTATATAATGTGTATACGCACACGAACAAAAACTTACATGCGTGTATGCACAGGCAGTGAAAGCATATGAAAAGGTAAAAAAAATTGTCGGTCGCCCAGAGGGCAACTATGAAGAGCCCGCAGAGCATGGAGGCACGCTTGCATATTTTCATCTTAAGTCTTTATGGCAGAAAGTTGGAAAAATATTTTTATTCAAGTAGAAAAGCGCAACAATAATACAAATTATTTACCTCTTATAATTTTAATGGTTTTACAAATTTCTATCAATCATTAATCTTTTCAATCAATTATAAATTTATTTTATTTTCAAATTTTTTCAAACTTCCATCTTTTTTTCCTTTGTTTACGCTGACATTCGACTGAAAGAGTTGTTTGAAAGTAAGAGACAACAATGGAGTCATGTTTGATGTTTCATTATTTTAAGACTACATGTAGAAGTTTCAACGAGAAGGTACGTTGTGGTCCCGTCTTAAGTTTTATTCCAAGACCATCACCAGCCCTTCATTTGAAAGCAATTTCAATTTTTAAGTTAAGTTTATTGTTTCTTCAATGTTTTTATTTGTTTAATTTTTTATGTTTTTAAAAAGATTCCCACTGAGAAGACCTCAGTGTTGGCAGCCACGTGATTAGCTTCAGCAACTAAGTAGTCGACTGGGGTGCCGTGCTGCTGTGGCCGCTTCCTATAATTTATCATTCATTCTCTCACCCTTTTTCTCTCACTTTCTTCTTTCTTATTCTCTCTCTCTTCTCTTTTTCTCTCTTTCTCTCTCTTTCTATCTATCTATCTATGTGTCTCCTTTTTATTTTTTCATGTGAGATGTTAGATTGCGGTGGTTGCGTTATAGTTGTCGTACCGCTGGTAATATGTTGGTGTTGTTTTTGTTGTCGATGTCGTTGCTGTTCATGTTGGTGTTGTTAAACCATTTTTATTGTTTCTCCATCTCAGTTCGTTTGTTTACCGGTGAATTTTATATTTGTTGTTCGTTTTAAAATATGGTAATGCCTCGCATTGCCATTCATGCCCTACGCTCACCACTCAGTGTTTATTATTTTTTACATTCTTCCCCCAACATTTCATTACAACTTTATCTCCTTCAATTTTTTTTTATATTTTTAAAGAACTTCAATTGTGTGGACTTCTTGTCCTGTCATACACGCACACACACCACGCACCACACACACACACACACACATACACACACACATACACACACACACACACGCTGAAAACGTTCATATCGAAATCATGAACATCGAGCAAATATTATGCAATTTATTTTTTTGAACCATCACCAGGCTTGTTGAATCTGCACTCAAGTTGAAAACGTCATCGTCAACATCATCGTCATCTTCATCGTCATCATCGCATCATCACATCAGCAGCAGCAGTACAATCACCCCATCGTTACATCGTCATCATTATCATCATCATCGTCATCCTGATCCATCATTATCATCATCACCATTATAAGATCATTTGTGACAAACACCACCCATCCATCTATCATGATACCTCATCATCATGTTACCTCCCTTACAATCTTCCTCCTCCTTATTACTATTATTATTATCGCTATCATTATCATCTCCGTCATCATCATCATCACCTCATGGTCATCATCATCATCTCCGATCATCATCATCATCATCATCATCATCATCATCATCATCATCATCATCTCACGATCATCATCATCATCTCCGATCATCATCATCACCTCATGGTCATCATCATCATCATCATCTCACGATCATCATCATCGTCGTCGTGGTGCGTGCAGCTTAAAGTTGTAAAAAGTGTTGTCATTGAAATAAAATAATGCAAGCAATCCAACGTTGAGTGCTTCACGTTAAATTAAGTGCACGCGCACTCACGCCAGTGCAGCTGTACTCTCCGTACATATTCGTACGCAACATGTGATTAACATAACATGAAGTTGTCTTCATCATCACGGCCATAGCATGAGGCGGTGTAATTATCATCTAAATTGAACGTCAGCCGTCGTTGATCCAGAAATCAATTAACAGTATTTGGCTATACAAATGTATGTTATATTGTTCTATATATTTCGTATATGTGTATGAAGTAATACATATGTTTATTTACATTATATAGTTATATGATTGTATAATTATATAATCTTTTAATCAAATAGTTATAAATAAATAAATAGACATTTAAGTGTGTGTGTGTGTGTGTGTGGTGTGTGTGTTTGTGTGTACAGTGTGTATACTATATATATATATATATTTATTATATATATATATATATATATATATATATATTTATTAAATAATATCCATCCTACGTTGAATACATTTCAACCCATCAACACGCAGTTTGTGACCCAGCGTCATCCGACAACCGTCATCGCGTCGTTGGATGTATTATGTGATACCTAATACTTGATCTATACATCGATATGTATCTTGCATGTACATATATGTATTTATATTTAACTATGTATCCGTAGGTCTGATGTGGAAACTCGTATCACACATATTCAACCGCAATAGTTGTATTCACAACGCATACACAGCAATATTATATATCTGGCGCACATGTCATTCGTAATTAGTTTTCACTAACGTTTCTCAACCATGTTAAAACTTTTATAAAATTTCTATATTTTAATTATTTTACTAAACATTTTATTTAAATTACATTATTTTATTTATATAATCTACATAAACTTTAGTTATTATGATATTTACAACAAGGTTAATTTATTTCACAATTTAATACATATTTTATTTTCTATATTTTCACATTTTACATTAGGCATTTACTTTAATTAAATTATATGTTTAAACAATATTTAGGCTCTGAAGATGGCATTACGCCGAAACAGCGCTGTTAGCTTTATTCCAGTTTTAGATAAATATGAACTCAAACAATACCGCCTCGTTGAATGTCTTATAAAGAAGTTAATTAATGCAAAATGGGCAAACAATTTCAATGAAATTTGCATATATATATATATATATATATATACTGTTAAATACTGTGTATGCGTACATGCAAGCTTGTACGTATAGTACATTTGTGAAGACTAAAATAGAGGACCTTGCGTTGCGTCTTTTTGCTTTCAAATACTAACAAAATTAACTACATTGAACTTTGTTGTTGTATTGATGTCATTGGATTTATTGCATTGTTAGATTTGTATCGATGTCTTTGTTGTTGTTGTATCTGTATGATGTCGTTATTGTTGTTGTATTTGTATGATGTCGTTGTTGTATTTCTTTTGATGACATTGCTGTTGTATTTGTGATGATGTCATTGTTGCGTTGAAGTTGATGTTATTGTATTGATGTTTTTGTTACCGTTGCCTCGTTGCAAATGGTAGGATGAACTGCTATAGGACCTTCTCATAAATTCGTCTCAGTTTTTTAAATGAATTAAATTAAGATTTTACCACCAAAAAATCTTTAGAAATTGTTTGCCATATTTAAAGACCGCCATCTACAGCCGAACAAACCATCAGCTATGCGAATAATTATTTATTTCCATTTTAATCTCACATCGATCGCTGCTGCTTTACATACACTAATGCCAACGAATAAACGAATATTCGGGTTTCCAGTCGAACCAAACTACGACCCCAGCAACCACAAACAACCCCAACTACAACATTCACAGCAACTACAACCACCATCACGATAGCCACAACCAATTCCAACAATCATAACCAACTACAATAACCTGCCGTAACCACAACCAGCCACAACCAGTCAAAGGCATTTCCGTTCATTATCACGCTTATTTAAAAATGTATTTGAGGTATAATGACCTATAAATTAACAAAATCACCATCACCATCATAGGATAAATAATTAAATTGATTATTATATATTGCAAATTATTATTTCTTGATTAAAACCATACAAATAAACACTAAGTTTTTTTTTTACAATCAAAGAGTTAATCAGAAAAATTGACTGAACTGCCAGCGAATTTAATTTGTGTTCGCTAACGAATCAAATGTTTTTGATAATTTTTAATTTTAGTTAAAACGTCAAAAAACGTCAAATATTTCGACAAATTCATTTGAAATAAATTGAAAGCTTATAAACTAACGGGGAATTAAAGTATTTAAAAAAGTTTATTTCAAAATATTTTTGGAACTTTAAAATTATGTAATTTCTGATCAATCGTACATTTTGTTACAAATGGAGATATGAACGTAAGCCGATTCTCTGCGTGGTCCATTGATATCGTTGTTAAAAAATTTAATTAAACCATTTATTCAAATTTTCATCAATTTTTTAATAAATGACAAATTAACTGAGTTACAAACAGTAATTTATTTTTAAAAGAACAATAATAAAATTGATTGTATGGTGATTTGACTGATTGAATTGAAATTCAGATTTTTCTCACTGCAAGTAAAATTAACACTATCTTAGATCTGCTCATAAGGTGTTGTAGCCTGCCTATCAAATAATATTTTCCTGCACGAGATGGTGTGTCAAGCAACGAATAAGAAGCTTTTGCAGGAATGTACGCATCATTATTCCGCTCTCTCCTACGTGGCGTGCAGTCTTTGAGTTAGATTAAAGTTGATCGTCACATTAATGAACAGTCTAGTTTGAAAATAATTCTCTTTCTAGGTGACAATTCTGTCTTGGAACTTTCGATAGATCATTTTTCCGCGAGGTAAATTATTGTGCCACATATTTTTTTATAACTACAATGCATATTTAATGCGGTTGTGATTTTGGTAAGTAAGTTTTGAAATCTCAAATTAAAATTAAGTCACCAAAATTGCATAATTTGATTTATAAACTTTATTGAAACGGTTAAACACATCAAAAGTTTTTTTTATTACAAAATAATGTAGATCGTTTTTTTTTTTGTTGCATTGAAATCTTGTTAAATATTTGATCTAAAACGAAATACAGGCATGAAATGGGCAATACAAAAAATATACAAATGTTTTTCAAACAAAAGTATTGGAACAGTAAAACTGAAAATAACTGTTAAAACCAATTAATACAAACACAAACAAATACAAAACACTCAAAAAAACAGACGAGCAAAAACTTGCCTCATATTTCTTCCTCTTTTCCTTCCTCCTCCTTCTATGCTGAGTGAGCCAAACGTCAACTCTCAAATTCTTTTCAACATTTATTCAACAAATTATACGCTGCATTATTATTTTACAAGTTACAATAAACAAATCATAAAAATTAATTGCGCCAAGTCTGCTTGAATCGTTAACGAAATGAATTTTTTGAAAGTTGAAGAAACGCGTTGCAAGGAGAAGAGAGGCTGTTTGAAAGTCGGTCGGTTGCATGCGTGCACTGCATCGTGCATATCATTCAACGGACCTTTTATACAACTCTCCATCCGTCCGTTCGATTTGATTTCCTCCTTGGCATGAATATGCATGCGTGTGTGTGTGCGCGCGTGTGTGTGCGCGCATATATTATCTTATCAAATGCGTGCTATACAAATTAAATTCCAGGAAATACATGTATGATATAACCCTTGTTTTAAATATATAATAAACACTGCTGTTCATTCAACATAAAAACATCATTTGGTAGAAATTTTGTAAAAATTGCTGAATTTTATCTCGTCAATTTTTCCATATACAAAATGTTCTTCTCAATGTAATTTCAACAACCTTGCTCTAACATGTTTGGCATTCGAAGTACGGAGCACTGGTGCCTTTTTACTATCAGTTTCTAATGAGATGTCCCTGATTTGTACTTTTGTATAAAAAGGATACATATCTCGGTATGAGATCCATATCTCTTATCTTTCCACTTGAAACACGGGTGCGGGGGGTGGGTGCTGATCTTTTCGTTTCAGTCAGTTCAGAGCTTTCCAATCTTACATAGAAATAAATTTATATGTATTTAGAATGTTCTTATGTTTATTGAATGTTCTTATGTT